GCGGTAATGATTCTTCATGCGTGGCTTCATACCTGTAAACATTTTTAACTGTAATACAATAACATTTGAATTTTATTAGTATAATTTTTAAGTAGCCCGCATGGAAAAAAACAAAAGTGAGTAGCCTCTGTATACTTCCTGACTATCCTCTACATCTATGCCAAATTTCATCGAAATACGTTCAGCCGTTTAGGCTACAAACTCTAGCAAGCATCCATCCATCCATCTAAACTTTCGCATTAATAATATTAGTATAAAGAATGATAAAATTATACAGTAAATATATTTGAATGTTATTTTTTGACCGACTTCCCAAAAGAAGGAGGTATTCAATTCGTCGATATGTTTTTTTTTTAAATAATATTTACCTATTTCCAAATACTTCTGGTGAAGTGTATCGTATTCATCCCATACTATGCTCTTGAATTTGTTGCGTTCTCTTGATATCGGCAGAACTGACTCCTGACGCTGCAGCTCGTTGGGATTCCTGATTAAAAAAATATTGTTAAATTATAATATGATATTAAAAAAGTCCCAAGTTTCAGAGCCCATATATACAGAAACCTATTTTGTAAATAGAAATTTTATTACGAATATTTCCAGCAGATTTAACGAGTTTTAAGAATTGTGCGTCGCAGAAAATCCTGAAAGAATTCTCTGTAGAACTCCGAGGTCTTTAAGTCCTAAAATAAGTTCAGAAATGAAAGCATTTTAAAATTATACTCAAAGCTACTTAAAGAACGAATAAAACTAAATTTCGTCCATGAAATGAAATATGGCACAGCGAAAAGGTCGTGATGAAAATATATTTTGACTCAGTTTGCATGTTTGCGCCAACTAAAATTATGCGAATTCACGGATGCCTTGTCAACGCGGAAACAAATAACTTTGTATTATTTCAAAGGTAAGGGAGCTGAACTGTAATAACAAACTTCGTTCGGAACAATAATTTTCCATTCTGCTCTGGTGCCGCGCGAGGCACGACGGGAAGTCGGCTGTTAGTACTAGTTACCTGTTACTTTCAATCCTACTTCGTTGGTTTTTATTTACTCTAACACTTAGTTAAAGAGTGTAATTAGATGAGATTTCTGTTTAATTTGCATTATTACTGGCTTTTTCTCGCGACTTTTTTCACTTGGAATTAACATAGCCCATGTTACTCATTGACAACGTAGCGGTTTAACGGCAAAAGAATTGAAATTGGTTCAGTAGTTTTTGAGTTATGTCAATACATACAAAAATCCAAAATAATAAATCGTTCCTCTTTATAACATTAGTATGGAAACGGAACGTCTTCTAAAAATTCCTAGAAATTGAAAAAGAAAAAACAGAATTTTATTTCTCTAACTACACTCACCCAGTTCTAGCGAAATTCGCAATGTACAAGATGAAAGCCTCGGAGAGTGCTACTTCAGATTTTGTATAATCCTTTGGAAAGTGTCCGAGCCCTTCAACTAGCGGCGCGCCGAATAAATAGGGCAGCTCCTCGCCGTGCACGGAGCCCATGCGCTGGAATTTTCATGGACATTATAATTTTGAACATGACATTAAATGCAAGTCACGTACTGAATTGCTTACGTTATATCAACGTATTCTTGTATCTATAGTTATAAATTGTTACAAAACAACATAAATCTTTAAACTTGTAAGTTTCAATTACTAGACCTTCACAGTGTTTGGTGAATTTATATAAATAATTCAACACACATAACTAAATAACACACTAACTGTTGCTCGCGTCTTCGTCCGCTTGGAAATATATCTTTTGAAATCGCCCGAGTAGTTTTAGAGTCATTTCAATACATACAAAAATACAAACCATTTCTCTTTATAATTAATAGAGATTAACAGAATGCTACTATCATAAAGTTTTACGTAATATAAAAATACCACATTTCGTAACAAAGAATTTGAATATAAACATATTTCTGTATACATACTTGTGGGTAATCTCCATCCTTTGTCTGATAGTCGAAGACGTAGAAGAATGTGCTCGGTCCGGATTCTGTAGAGCTTAAAAAATCCCCAGTTTGTACTAAGGGGGCGACATATTGCGCGTCAGACAGCGCCAGTACTGCGGCGTCTCTCGTGTTTATTGGATGCTGTTGAAAAATAAACTTCCTGAATCTTGTTTCTCCTTGTTACACGTATCACGTTGCTTTCTTACACGTTTATATTAAAAATTCTTTGAACTTTGTAAAGTGAATATTTGTTCCATGTACATTGTATATTAAATGCTTACCATAGTTTAGTTCATCGTTTTATTAGAAGAGAGTATTTTAATAAATAAATAAAAGTTTCTGTTTTAGATTTATTTAGATTCTCATATATTTAACAATTTCAATGCTTTAGGCAATTACATTACTTAGGAATTTAAAAGAATTCTAGATTTAGTTTATGACAAACCTGAACCGTCCTTTCCCAGTCCGTGTATTCATTAACTATAGTAAAGAATATTTCACTTAAGTGATATGTGTAGGCGTTCCTTACATATGTCCTGAAACAAAGAAACCACCATTAAAATTTAAGTCAGCTAAAATTATTATTAACCGCTGCATAAAAATACACCAAAATATTTATTTTCGTCTGAAAAGAAATAAAATGGTAAAGATATTTAAGGTAAAAAACAAATGCCTTTAAGCAAATTTTAAATCGTCAGTAAATTTTTTATCATAAGTCGCTTTTAGAAAGCAATAAATAAATAAAAACGCTAAAGTGAAAAGCAAACAGGAAAAAGGCATTTCGCTCTAAATTAAATGTCAATTCACCTTATAAATATTCATTCATCTTACCTTATTATCCTGTCGCGTCTCTCTCCCTCGAAACCGTTTTGTATATCTTGAGCGGAAAATTTCCAGAGTGCCTCACTTGTTACTACTCCAAATAGTAGGTCATATTTATTTTGTCCACCCCTTATTCCGAAAATTCGGTCCCCAGCTCGTTTGTCCGCTTTGAAATTGTTAACACCTGACACACTTGTGAAGCCTTGTAAATCATTTGGTATGAAAAATGTGAGTAATTCCTTAGCGTAATCTGTCTTAACAACTACTCCGTCTACAGATGGTCCAAATGCAGTTAAATAACTTGGTGTATTTATTTCAGCTGACATCAGTTCGTTCAAAGGTACATCTCGAAGACAATCGACGATGAGTTCATGATCTTTGACAATATCGTCAGGTAAAGTGCAATTAGACTGTTTCGCAAGTTGTATAGAATAACCAACAGGGTCCTCTACTAATGCCCATGAGCTTAAAGCAGAACCAGAAAGAAGAATCGATCGGTGAAATAGACCTGAAATTTTTACTGAAGTTAATGACAATAATATTTTTGTACCTAAAGCTACTAGCATACATCATGGTGAAAATTTGCATAGACGTAAGTAGAGGATAGTCTGGAAGAACACATATGTGTTTTTTATACGAAAGCTAATATGAAATAAATGATATACATAAACAAATAAAGAAATTACAATGCAACTCGGCGATGTCAACAAAGATATACATCCAGTACGGGTTCGGAATTTTGAACGAAAATTTAACTCACCCGGCATCACAGTCGGCGAAATCATAAGAAAATTTATGCACGCGGCACCCGAGCCGTGGCCCAACATTGTGACGTTGCCTGCGTCGCCGCCAAATAGAGCTATATTTTGCTGAACCCAATGCAATGCTGCTATCTGATCCATAAGCCCGTAGTTTGCTACCCGAGCCTTTACGTGCGGTATTGGATTTGCATTTAAAAAACCTGACGATAAAGCATACCTTATAATTTATTTTATCATACATTAAGTTAACTTTTTATTTAATAGCTGTGGTTATAATTACTCTGACTGAGTGCGATTTTACATGCAATTACAAATAGGTAACATAGAATCGCATGATTCGACTGAAGAATTTATAACCAAATCTTTCTATCCCTTATCTTCTTTTGTTTTCTTATTCTTTTCTTTTGCTCTTTCTTCCTTATCAATCGCAGTTCTTTTTGGAAAAACACTATGTTAATTTCTTCTTACCTAATATACCGAGGCGGTAGTTTATAGTAATAACCACAAGGCCCGCGTAACTCGCGAGAACCGCTCCGTCGTAAACATTGCCAGAGTTCCATTCGAACGACTCCCCGTGGATAAAGATCACCACTGGGTACTTCGCTTGTAGTGTTGGCCCCACTATAACAAAGACATTTATATAACACTGCTGCAAATAACAAAGATCTTTATTCTTCTGATCTTGGAATATATCACACCTCTACAATCATTTCGTTAAACAATATCACTTACCTTTTTGCTATACAAGTTAGTTTTAGATTTTTTTGAAATTATGTGAGGTGGCAAACGAGTAAGCGGCCACCTGAATCCTACCAAATGGAAAGCATCCGCAATTATAGATGCGCCTACCCTTGATTGACGGAGGAGGAGACACACATAAAGAGGACATTTCCCCATAATATGTGTCTCCTCCAGATCCACTTTTCCTTTCCATCCTTTCCTCTTAAGAAAAGAGTGAAAAGAAAAGGGGACTAAAATTAGGCTTCCCGTACCACACTTATCAGATGAAACGCGGAATTAACTTCCACTTCACGCTTGTGTTCTATGTGGTCGTGGTATTACACCCGGCGAAACGGCCCATTCGTGCGAAGATGTTAAGGCGGGTTCTACTATTATTATTTATAATTAGTTTCACTTCATGTTACCCCTATAGGGAAATACGTGAGAACTTATTTTTATTATTTATAGAGCTGCCACAACGTCCGCTTGAGCGGAAAATTCTGGCTTTGTTTAAGCGAATAGTATCGCATGAGAGGTTCGTTATGCTCCAGTTATTTTCCTTGTTTATGATATACAAAATATTATACATTGATTAATACGGAAGCTCTGACGTAGTTTAATCATTCGTGATGCTGTTTTTGGTGCTTAGGCTTGAGATTGAAGACATTACCATGAAGCATGATAAGCATTCTTACGACATAGGAAACCTTGTGATGCAATATGCACATATTTACGAAGCAATTTAAGGATGTCTGTAAAGTTTACTAAACCGCAATGGACTGCATGACTAAGGCCTCATCACATCTTATTTATGATTAACTGAAGCACCTTAATAAAGACGTATATGAGGTAACAAATACATTGATTTAAATAAAAATCCTAACACCTACATTATTATAATAACTAAAATTCAGTTTCAATTCAATTTAGCAAACATTTTGTAAGAATAAAAACTAAAAGTGTATTATAAAGTTTGCGCTCGCCACCTTGTTGAATTATCTCCCGGGAGGGGGAGTCCATTGTAAGCTATGATTAAAATTTTGGTATCTGAGCGCGACGCTTGTCCCAGCGGCGTGTGTCAGACATTTCATTATTCTCATAAATGGAAACTATTCTTGGTAAGTGTTATTTGTGGAATTTAAAATGTGCTCTTGAATATTTTAATGATATTAACAATTCTACGGTATTTAGTGATGGATAGCGCATATAGACATCATCGTCATATCAGGCAATAGTATACGAAGTAAGCGTAATTACAAATCTAACTGTCTGTACCACCAAATTGTAAATTGTCTCATAACAATCGAACGTGTGAAATATGTGATGTAAATATCGTGTTTTGACAGTCATTTAATTTTTAAGCTATCTGAACCTCTATCAGCCAGTAATGGGACAGGCCCTAAGGAGTAGAAAATTGAAAATTAAATTTGAAAGAAATAATTTCCAATGGAGAATAAATCATAAAACGAATAAGCAATAACAGCGTAAGCACGCAAAATTGCGATTTAAAAATTTCGCAAACGAGACCTTTATGTAAAGAATCAAGATTGTTTCGCTACTAAGCGAGATGTAAGCCTCAGACCGCCTGCAGGGAAGCAAATAAGAGTCGGTATTGTTTTAACCGTGTATTCATTCATTTCTCGTCGAGCGAAGGCAGCGCAATCACTGCCTTAGAAAGAGTTTCGTAACCTACTTTACATTGTTCTCTAGATAGAAGTTGAGTCCAAATATCAATGTTTTGGCTTCAACCAAGCATACTTCGTAAAATATTTATTGAAGAAGTAAAACGAAGAAACGAAGTACAGTCCTGAACGATATTGCATTTTTCGTAGAAATACTTTATTATACAAAACTTATCGAATACAGTGTACTGCGTGATGGTACAAGGAATTTTATTCGACTTAGAGTATATTGTAAAAGAAACAGTCTTTAAATATTTGAAGACAAAAATCTTACCTTGAACTGGTGTATAAATGTTCATATACAAGCAGTCCTCGCTTTGATTCTTTAGTCGCGGTAGAAGACGTCGTAAATATTCCAATCTGCCTTTAGGCATTCGTTCAAGAGCTTGTGTCTCGTTTGAAATGTCTGGCAAACGTTGAGGACAAACTGGTCCCATTTGATCCACAGTCTTCACGTCGTCCCACGGAGCTGGCGCTCGAGTTGGAGCAAATCTTTAGATTAAATATTAAATCAACAAACGTAAATTTGGTTAATTAATCGTTTTGAATTCAAAACTGAAAATACAGGTAAATTTTAATTATCATAAGAGTTTAACGAGGCAATTCACAGTTAACCTAAAAATGTCACAAAAATAAGCAAAGAAAATAGGTCATGGACGATTTGTCGGGTCAAATCGTTTAAATACAACTATAGTTTATTAATGTTCTTAATTTAATACTAACGATTCATGTTGTTTCACAAACACACAGAAATATAACCAATTGAGAACACACTTTTAAACAAATTGAGGACATGTAAGAAGAAATGATGATGAAAACAAGAAATTATTAAGATCGAATGTGGACGACACTGATAGAGAAACAGCAAAGAAAGTATCTATGGATTTTGGATAAGAGGATATGCTTAAAAAGGGCGTGAATTCAAGTATGAAGGCTGATAGCTAAATAGCTTCAATAGTTACAAAAGAATGCAGGAATTTACTTTATAAAACCTAGTGTCTATTCATCCCAATTGTCTTGAAAGTGTGTCTAGAAAGGCACATGTATCGATTATTACGTTTGTTTATTTTTTATCCTTTAGTGTTCTCATTCGAAATGGATAATACAATATGATCTTAGTAAATCTGATATCAAATAAAGATATCATAATTCTAATAAAGATACGATCTAATACTAAAAGAATTGTATCATAGTCTGGGCTTACTTCAAATAATCGCGTTACGGAAAATAATCCCCTTTCATATTAATTCCGATATTTATTTGTTTCGTGTAATTTATCTATCGAATATTGCTTTGTTTTCTCGTGTTTGGAGAGTATGAATAGTCTTGTTTTTTACTGTACCACAGATTTGTGTGGTTTAACGATTATTTTAAATGGAATAGATCCAGAAACGTGTGAAAAACAGGTACGTTTAGTTGATATCAGATTTAGGAAAGGAAATCTATATTGAGGGATTTCCTTAGTATAGTATTAGCAAATATGAGTGAGTCATTAATTACCTAGGCACTAACACGTTAGTATAAATAGAATAAGTTGATTGAAAATAAAAAATCTAATCTACAAACCATGAAACTGTTAATAATTAAAAACATTTAATTAGAATCAGTCGATGCGTGAACATTTTAATGAGGTCACATTGAGATTAATTATTTGTTTATTTTAAAGTGCCGATAACATTATTCATACTTTTGTTTTTTTTTTAATATTTTCAATGGTGTTATTTTTTATGAAATTCATCTATATTCTCATATCAAAAGACAACCTAACTGACAAAGAGTTAACTTGTCTGACAAAATGTAACACATTTCAAATTCACAATCCAAATTTGACCAAATGCATATAAAATATTTTTAAAATTCTAATCTACTTTTTACGATTATCTGACTTCAAAATATCAGAATATGGACTCTTGGGGGCTGTCCCAAAAAGTGTTGGGAAAGGCCCTTGTCTTTTTTAGTTCTGTAATTATAATTTCATGTTACTCTATTAAATTATTTTATTGCATACATACCTGTTAGAGCCAGTAGGTGGCGTGGCATACGGCACACCGAGGTAGGCTTCCACAGGCTTCAAATACTTATGTTGATCCATCGGCAATATGATACCTTGCAACTTGCCGTATCTGGTACCTATTACTCTTGTCCTTAACATCGAATTCCTACCACCACTATAACTATTTCCATTCGAGTTAACACTAAATAATAACACTAAAAGTATAGACAATTTAGCCTTATCTTTATAGTCTAATTTCAAAGTCCACTTTAAACTTTTCACTATCTTCTTCCACTTAAATGATTTCTTCTCTAACCATATTCCTATCGTGAGCCATAATAATTTGATTGAATTGCTTAGATGTAGTAGCGATCTCTGAAAGGCCATCTTTCAATATCACCTTACTAGTTCCATTTCTCATTCTTGTAGCCACATTACCAAGCTTTTATAACGTCATTCTCCGACTAATTGATCACTTTTCTTTTATCTTTTTCTTTTGAAATCATCGTGTACCTGTAACAAGAATTATAATAAATTAGTTGAACCATTGAATTTGTTAATAAGTAATTTAGTTTATAACTATAAATTCCCGTACAGTTGTAAAGTACATTTCGGAATAGAAACCATAGCTTGTGTTCACGCATAAATTACACGAATAAATTTTAAAATGATTACAGAAAATTTCCACTATCATTATTCTTGTGGTGTTAGTTCATAATTTGTAGTGTTAAAGGAATTTATTTCAAAGAATTTAATCCTAACCACAACCTGCCAATTTTTAGGCAGACGACATTAAAAATACTATACAGAAATCGTTTTGCTTTTCAGCTTAAATTATAACGAAAAAACCGTACAACAATTTCCGCAAATACGACCGCACGGTTCGAATTAATTATTGGTGAAAATTGAACGCCAACAACTCTTACGTACAGACATTCAATATTCATCTGACACTGCACTGCTCGTGAAAAGATAACGGCCGGAGTTTCCGCTTTGACGTAAATACATTGAGATGGTAATCATTTGCATTTAATAAGCTACTAATAACAAATTAAAACCAATAACCTAACATGTAAATGTTTTGTGTCCGTCCTTTTTTTAGGGAGATAAACAGGGTTATATAATTCAATAGTTTAAAATCTTTAGACCGTTTGTACACCCACGAACATCTCCAAAAGCAGAGTTTTGTTGTCAGTTTCTCCCAAATTAGCATGAACCACAAACACTTGACACTGGCCTAATCCACAGAGGGAGAGCCATAAACAAGAAATAGAATAGTAACAAATTAAAATATTCAGGTAGCATTTAGTTTAAATATATTTGTATTTAGATGTAACTACCGCAGCTCATCGTGCAAGGCAAGATTCACGGAAAGCGAAGTGTAGGTCGAAAAACATCCTGGCACAAAAACCTACGCCAGTGGTTTGGAAAGAGCACCCGTTCACTTTTCAGAGCCGCGGTGTCTAGAATGCAAGTTGCCCTAATGATCACCGAACTTCGAAAGAAGATAGCACTTTAAGAACAAGTATTTAGTTATATAAATATCCTACTGCTGTCAATTAGGGCGGGAATAGACATATAACTGGAACGCGAGTATGTGTAAAATGACAAGCAAATATCTAGTACGATATTTTGGAACATTATTACATATCAAGGGAAGATACGAGGGAGGTACTAAGCTTAACACTGACAAGTCTCGTTTCGTACGATCTTGTGAACATTTTACTGGCATGTGTTCCAGTCCTTATATATTTATAAAAACAAAAGCATGTTGCCTATATGTTCTTCCAGACTATCCCCAACATCTATGCCCAATTTTATCGAAATTAGTTCAGCCCTAGGCTACAAACTCTAACAATCATTCATCTAAACTTTCGCATATTTATTTTAGTAAGATGACAGTTTTGTCGTTATAAAAACATTAATTTACATAACAATTTATAAACATTTCGTTTTATATTCATTACAATCCCTCGTAATTTGAATGCTCCATTTAGCAATGGGAATAAAGTCCGGTACAGAAATAAATAGCTCCAATCGACTGCATTGAAAATTGTTGAAGCATACCTCGGGGACATTGTGATTAACCGTTACTATTACAACTCAATTTTAACCTGTTTGATCAATTTTAACCTCAAATTGATTGTACAATTATGTGGAATCAAAATGTGTTCAATACATATAAAGGTATAAGCGTTGGTGGCTCAGTGGTTAAGCAATTAAATTTGTAAATTTACAAGTCTAGGGTTCGAATCTCGCAATGTACCAATGTTATTTGCGAATTATCATATGTACATAATTTACCCGACGTTCTTATGAAGAAGGAAAATATAGCGATGCCTGCACATATCGTCAAAGAAATTCAAAGATGTATGAAGTCAACCAACCAGCACTTGGCCAGCGTGGTTGGCTATAACCTAGTCACCCCTTTAGGGTAAGCACCGAACCCCTTGGTGGGGACGTGTAGTGAGCTGGTAATGATATAAAGGTTATGTGTGTGTGACAGTGATATAAATGAACTCATATTCCCAAAGGTGAAATATTTCTTAAGAAATAGCAAAGAAATGTTGCGGAGAAACAAGTATTGCGGTAATATACATCGTTAGGTTTGTTAACATATTCTGTCTTAGATACAAGTTACTATAGTAGTAAATAGCAAAGTAGAGAAATCTACTGTTTAGTAAATAAATTACTGTGTGGTTTAGTTGCCAAATGATTGAATCAGAATTTCTAATATACACTCATAAAATTAATAACTACAAATACTGACGTGTAGAAAGCACTTAAAACATGTCTCAAAATGTTGGTCCTTCGAGCCGTTTTATTTTCTTTATTTAATCATAGACAATTTATTCTTCTGTGATAACTTCTTTAATAATAAAAACAGTATTTTTAACTCAATAGAGTTATGTTATGGTCGCTTCTTGTGAGAAATATATGAAACTTATATAATAGCACAATGCGACTTAATCAGTCCCAGTAATCTATAAAAAGCTTTGAAATCGAATCGCTTGTAAAGCACAAAAGCAACAACTTTATATGGTGCGTTAAGCCGAAAGCCTATGTGGCGTTGAAATTATTCTCTAAAATGTAAAAAAAAAGGTCACTAAAATTCGGGTCAACTCAATAAAAGTGCGTTGGCTCCAAGATTGGCAAGGATGCCAAATTTAAAATTTACAGAACAAACATAATTTATAAAAACATCGGAATTTGTTGGGGTTTTATTGTTTTTTGTGAGTAAACTCGGACATACCCTTGGGCGATTAATGAATTTGTTGATTATTTAATGGTTGTAGAATTTATTGGTCGGAATATCGACTTTGAAAAGATCTTGTAGTATTTTTAATCCGACTGCCTCAGAGGAGCGTTTTTAGCCCGACGTTATTAAAGCTACTATATATTAATATTTAATAATGTTTACTTTACATGTACCTTAAGCCCTTTTTCCAATAAGTGACGAGTTAAATTGCTACTTTTATGGACAGTATAAGCCGTACCAGTGGATTCATATACAATTTTCATACAAATAGTTCCACGTATAGTCGCTTAGTACAAAACGCGACAAAACAAGAATCCGTCGCACATTGAAAAATGTGAAAAAGTTCAATTACTGCCACTCCGGCGAAACTCACGTCCAAATTCCCTAACCGATGTGACAAAAGCAATAAAAACCAAATGCTTCTTGAAAGAAAATGTTACATAAAACGAAACGAGTTGAAATCACATTTTTTGTGTCGTACAGCGTCAGCCCTGACACTAGTGTTTCTTGACCTGTTTCGGGAGATGTTACATTGCGGATCTTCCTTGGCAGGCGTGTACGGAAGTTCCCTGATTTTGATATTAATACTAAGTCTGTAGACATTGTAGAGAATTCTACAGTTTTTGGCTAAGTTTCAGATGACGAAACATTTTTTTTTATTCACATTAGTAAATAGTGTAAGCGTTTTGTTTCTCCGCAACTTGACCTATTTTCCCATCTTTATAACCCATATGTTTCTATGCGTATTCAGCTGGTTTTAATAACAAAAATATACATAAAAATAAAAAGAAATAATATGGCATGAGCCCAGAAAGGTGGAACAGACCCACGATAAATGGAAATTCTTAACCTTTGCCTATCCTCTTTGGATAACTTCAAGACGATCTGTGTGCGTTTCTGAAGTTATAATTGACGATTGTATATTTCGGCAATTAAATTACAATAAGAGTTGGCTATGAAAGTTATTATAATAACATACTTTATTAAAAAGTCGTAGTTAAACGTTTTTATGTCTTATGAAAGACTAGCTGTTCCCATGCGACTTCATCCGCATAAAATTAAAAAAAAATCATTTTATTGTTTACATTTGTCATGTTATCAATTGCAAATGACAAAATGACATGACATGATGACAAACCATAGCAACCTTGCTTCCTTGATGTTGGCAACAACTTATGGTCTTTTTCACACATTAGGGTTATTATCCAAAATATTTACCTCCTAAGATCAATACCGTGAAAATATATAGCCTAAAACGTGACGTAAGTGTATGGCTTTTTATTAAAAAAAGATTTATCGAAAATTATGCTGTAATTGTTGACATCTTAGGCAACAAAGAAATGCGTGTTTACGCTTTATCTTAATAGTATAGATTACAAATAAGACACAGTTTTACACAAATTTTCATAATATTTTTAATAATTGGTTTAGTTCAATCACATTCAAATCAATGAGACGTGAAAAGTGTGAATCATCGTTTTCTTGGAAACGATCCCATGTATTTCTCAGAGAATAAAAGAACAAAAGAAAATGCCAGAAGACAGAGAATGTAAATTCCCGGGAAAACGGGAATGTAAATTCCCGTGATTCTTTCCTAACTTTCGTTTCATCTTTGATTTTAGTACTCTACTGATCATTACTAATTCGTCTTTGTTAAAATTGGAACCATAAAAACTTTTTATAATACATATGTAGATGTATCTGGGATTGCATAAACAGTTTTATTTAAATTCAAGGATTAACACATAACGGATCAATAACAATCAGAGGACGTAACACGAATATTTGTGAGAAGGTATTCGTAACACCAATAACATAAATTCAGTAACGCAGCGAAAATGAAATACAAAATTTGATGACTCACAAATATTTCCTCGTTAATTTTCGTGCTAGGTCCCCTAGTTTTTATCCTAACGTATTACACGCTAGAACTCCTAGTTCACAGCCATTTGTAAAGTTTCAAGGATTAGCGATTTCATTCCTCGTTCGTAGATGGAATTCCAATATTTGCAGCACACGGGCAATCGGCTTTCGTGTTTGGATTTAAGACATTACTAGCTTGCATGCTAATCTTCTTACTATGGTGGCAAATTGAATTAAAAATTAAAAAAAACTTAAAAAGTTTAATGCATCTGTTAACAACAAAGGTGAAAAGCATTATCCCCACTGAAAGGTGTTATAATGAAAGAATAACAAAGACAGGTTATGATATCATTTTCAAGGATATAGTGCTTCTGATATCCATTAAGTAAAC